TTTCGTCATCTTCGTCGTCCTGCCTGCTCTCTTGAACCCCCTGCCAGTGACAGAAATATGTTGCGTGCCTTATTCTGTATAAGAAGCCACATCATCTCACAGAAGGATTTATTTCAAACACTCGGCTGACATTATGAAGTGAGTTTGGAGTAAAAGCATGTTATTAAATGTGATATTTTCACGTGCTTTCAGATGGAGCAGCATTTACTACAACGATTTCTTCGATTTCATAATCGTACGATTATGTCGTCTGTGATTGTTTTTGCCTAGCTTGTCAGAGAACTACGGCTCTTTGTATTAAATGCTGCTTCATCTGAAAGCAGGTGATGGAGATTTACTACTAATCACAGAACCGGCTTTACTGACAAGATGTGCATGACAATCGCATTTGATTAATCGTGCAGCCCTAGTTTATCCCCTGCAATTGGGATGCTAGGAAATGTCTTCATTGACAATCTGCAAAGCAAATTTTAGTGTTGCAATTTTGCTTATGTGCAAGTTGGAGATGAAGTAGGAGTATCCATATAATATATTTCTGTTCATCATACAATCCTGAAAAATAAAATGCATCATGGTTTCCACAAAAATATGAAGCAGCACAACTGTTTTCATAATAATCAGAAATGTTTCTTGAGCAGCACATCACCATATTAGAATGATTTCTGAAGGATCATGTGACACTGAAGACTGGAGTAATGATGCTAAAAATTCAACTTTGATTACAGAAATAAATTACATTTTATATTCACATAAAAAAATTGTAATATTTCACAATTTTACTATATTTTTGATTGAATAAATGCAGACTTGGTGAGCAGAAGACACTTCATTCAAAAAAAAATTAAAAACGTAATTATTCCTAACTTTGGACCGGTAGTGTAACTATTGCCATTAATAGTTCTATATGTTGATATCAATGTTTGTTTTCGAGCAGAGAGGCGGTCAACAGCGGCTGGTCAGCCAATCAGGGGGATTCAGCCAGCTCGAGTGATGAGGCATCCTCAGCCAATGGGGACAGTCTGTTCTCCATGTTCTCTGGGCCTGACCTGGTAGCAGCTGTTAAACAAAGACGGTAACAAACATTTAATCTGTTTATCAGACAGTTTCATCCGAAACTATTCATCCGGATGGTGTGTTTGAGATGAGTGCGTCCCTCATGTTGAGTGTGTTTTTTTAGGAAACACAGCTGTGGTGAACAGGAAGTGTGCACTCTGCCCTCTCCTCCGCTCCACCACGCCAGTGACGACAGTAACCAGGTACTAATGACTCTCTGATGCCACTTCAACTAATAAACACACGTATATTCCATCATAATAAGAGGTGGAGTTTAACAGTGGGTGTTTTCTCATATACAGATGTTATTGTAAATATTTTTTGTTTATACATTACATTGTTTATTTTTTATTTGAAAACAGCAGTTTTTGTTTAGAGAACATGTAATCTTGATGTGTTGTTAAAATGCTGTCAAATTAACTTTATATTGTATTCGGTGTTAAAGTTTGGATCTAAGAACTTTAAGATTTTGAGCAGGCTATAAAGTTGTGAAGGAATGATCCAGTTAGTCAACTCTTGTTGCATGAGTCGATTGTCTTTCAGCAAAAATAAAATAAACAATTTTATATTAAAATTAAACGTATTTTAAAATTATGTGAAAAAGATTTAAATAACATCAGGCCACCATGAATACAAAGAGTACATTTCTCAGAAATTGAATGCTTTTGTTTTTGGACACTTTTTAAATACTTAAAACCATTTTGAACATCAGTATTTGTCTTTGACCCTTCCGCTGTTGTGTTTTCTTTGCATTGGCATTGTTTTGCTTTATATGAAGCTTTATAACAAACTTACCTATAACTCAAATAGTAGAGTAACTGATTAGTTACATTTATTTTGTAATTAAATTACGTAACGCTGTTACATGTAACTAGTTACTCCCCAACACTGAGTATGGCATTATCAATGCCAGGGTCATGGGTTAGATTCCCAGGATGCAAAATCATGGGTTTGATTCCCAGGTCATGGGGTTGATACCCTGGATGCAGGGGTGGACTTAGGGATTTGGGGGCCCTAAGCAAATTCCAGGTATGGGGCCCCAATACAATAACTAGCCTATGTGCTCTTTTATGCCTAACCCTTATTTTGCTCGCTCGCTCTCATAGTTTCTAGTTTATTTATCCCTTCACAACCAGTAATTAGTCAACCTGATGCTGTTCTAAACCTTTTTTTTTTTTTGGATCACAAAAGAAGATAAAAAAAAACCCGCTTGCACTTGTCCATTTAAAGCTGCAGTCCATAACGTTTTTTGGTTAAAAATGATCCAAAATCAATATTTGAGCAAGTACATAACCAGCCAGTGTTCAAAACTATCGCCTTACTTTAGCCCGATTCACAACGTCACGTCTGTAAACATAAAGAAGTTGCCCCGGCTACTAGGCTGTCGCATGTGAGGATCCTGCAGGTGACGGATCGTTTATAGCCTTTTCTCACAGCAGCCAGAATAATTAAATGTATCATTTTGATGGTCCGAAATCAGTATTTGAGCAAGTACATAACCAGCCAGTGTTCAAAACTATCGCCTTACTTTAGCCCGATTCACAACGTCACGTCTGTAAACATAAAGAAGTTGCCCCGGCTACTAGGCTGTCGCATGTGAGGATCCTGCAGGTGACGGATCGTTTATAGCCTTTTCTCACAGCAGCCAGAATAATTAAATGTATCATTTTGATGGATTGTAATCTAGAAAGGATTATGTGTTTATGAAACACATGTGAATGAAATGAAATTATATTTCAGTTTTAAATGTGCTTCTGATTACATATAGCCTGGGATTACACAAGATTTGTATTTTAAAGACAACCAGTTCAAAGGGAGCATACTTTTCTTTTTGGGTTAAAAGAATTTCTTAACATGAAATTCGAATGGTATGATAATTAGAGATTAGACTGTACAGAAATTGAAATCTACACGCTAATACACACTATACTCATAGTCACGCAATGCTGATGTTGTTAACTAACAAAGGGAGAACAAAGTATAACAATAAAAATAATTTGCACGGTTTGATGTGATATGAGATAATCGATCGTTAGATTAAATCACCATTGGTAGCGCGATTTATTGTAATGCTTTTTTCCTCAGTTGGTCAAAACAAACATGTCAGACTTGTTACTTACTCGTTCAGATGACAATATATGGTGAAAAGTCTTAGTTGGGTCATATATTCCAAGACGTAGGCTAGAATCTGTGATTAGGATATAGGATTCACACCGGTGCGGTGACTGACTGCCACACACACATACTCCTCAAAACATTAGATTCATCCGCGCTGGAGCCGTGC